AGCCGTGTGAGGATAGGAGGAAGGTGGTGAGATGGCAGAACTGGCATCGTGGGAGACAAGGGAGCCCTCGGAACATTGTGGGACAATGGCTGATGGCCCAAAAGCATAGCACTCCCGAGAGGAGGACCTGGCAGAGAGAGACTCAAAGAGGAGAATCCCCTGAAAGGCGCTAAAGAGGTGCCTCGGTGGGAGGAAACTCTCCCCACCCAGCTGATCATCCCTCAGCTGGTTGCTGCCTGATCGAGGTCCCTTGTTGTTATGGGGAATGAAGAAACAAAGAACGGGGTTGTGTGTCTGGGCTGGAGCAGAAGGGGGGGGCACTCGGCCATCCAGCCCACTGGCCTGCACTGGCTGCACCTGTAACTCCCTGTGTGGCCAGTACAGAGAGGCACAGTGCTGCTGACCCTCGGGACTCCTCCATCCAGTCCTAGGACCAGCAGACCCAGAAACCTTCTGGGTTTCTGCTGTGCCTTGAGCACCTCTGTGTTGGGTGGGGACACAGATACCCCACGGTGAGCAGCAATGTTTGGAGAATGATTTGGAGACCTGCAGTAACCCCAGCAAGTGTTTTGTGTTTTGTGCTCCGGACAAGACGCCATTACTCTTTCTCCCTTTTGCCATGAATTCTCTGAACCAGCTTGGTGGATGAGCAACCAGCATTTGTGCATTTGAAGTGTGTGGCATCATAGTAGGAGACCCCCAAAAATGTCATTAATGTAGGTCTCTCATTCTTGAAAGTGGTACAGTAAATTCACCTCTTCTTTTTAATGGATTCAAAGGAACCCATCTTTCTCCACAAGTGTCATGGTTGGTTGGTTGGTTGGTTGGTTGGTTGGTTGGTTGGTTGGTTGGTTGGTTGGTTGGTTGGTTGGTTGGTTGGTTGGTTGGTTGGTTGGTTGGTTGGTTGGTTGGTTGGTTGGTTGGTTGGTTGGTTGGTTGGTTGGTTGGTTGGTTGGTTGGTTGGTTGGTTGGTTGGTTGGTTGGTTGGTTGGTTGGTTGGTTGGTTGGTTGGTTGGTTGGTTGGTTGGTTGGTTGGTTGGTTGGTTGGTTGGTTGGTTGGTTGGTTGGTTGGTTGGTTGGTTGGTTGGTTGGTTGGTTGGTTGGTTGGTTGGTTGGTTGGTTGGTTGGTTGGTTGGTTGGTTGGTTGGTTGGTTGGTTGGTTGGTTGGTTGGTTGGTTGGTTGGTTGGTTGGTTGGTTGGTTGGTTGGTTGGTTGGTTGGTTGGTTGGTTGGTTGGTTGGTTGGTTGGTTGGTTGGTTGGTTGGTTGGTTGGTTGGTTGGTTGGTTGGTTGGTTGGTTGGTTGGTTGGTTGCTTGCTTGCTTGCTTGCTTGCTTGCTTGCTTGCTAGCTTGGCTGGCTGGCTGGCTGGCTGGCTGGTTGGTGTTTTGTATCATATACTGTACTTTGTAAGTCCAACAAAGGTTGAAGCATGGCTTTGCTTCCTGTCCTGCTTGGGTTCCTTGTGTGTTTAGATCACAATCTCTTTGGTTGGATCTCTTGTCCTGACTTTTATGTTTTGTATCATATACTGTAATTTGTAAGTCCAACAAAGGTTGAAGCATGCCTTTGCTTCTTGTCCTGCTTGGGTTCCTTGTGTGTTTAGATCACAATCTCTTTGGTTGGATCTCTTGTCCTGACTTTTGTCTGGTTTTGAGTAGAGTCCTTTGGGAAGGCCATCTGTGTCCGTCTGGCCCCTTGGGCTGCTGGCGCACTGCCTTCTTCAGAGGGCTGAGCGGATCCGTAGGCTGGCGTTTCCCACTGCAGCCTCACTTCACCCTTGCCCTGAATCAAGAAAGGCATAAGGCACCTGAACCCCACAGGCATGCCTTCGGCCTGTGTGGAGCGACTGGGACTGGAATGATTATTTGGCAGTGAGCAGAGGGAACAGCCCAACCAAACCATGGAATGGAAGGAAACGCCACTGAAGAAGGAGAAGGAATAATTTAAAAAGAGAGAAACCTCTTGGCTTCCATAGAAGCAATTCCTTCTTCGGTCGCTTTTTTGGCCTGGATGTTTGTTCTCTGTCTCAGGATTTGTGTTGCCTGGGAGGTGGGGTGCAGTTTTATTGAAGCACCCGGTTAGGAATCTGTTGTCCCCTGCACCTGCTGGGGTGCTCTTTCCTTCCCCCCCCCCTTTGGTCCAGGCTTTTTCTGTCCTTCACCCACCAACCTTGGCTGCCTTCCTCTCCCTCCAGCTCCCCGCCTGCCAACCAGGGCTTGTTTCCCTTCCCAGAACTAAGGATTTCTTCCCTTCCCCCAAGCGCCCACCCATCCTAGTGCTCTCTCTGTCTCCCTTTCTTCTCTCCACACACCCCTCTGGGTCACTGTGTAGAAGAGGAGATGTAGCATGTGCGTGTATGTGCGCACACACACACACACCATGCTCCACCCCCCAATCACCACTATTGTTTCTACACTGCCATTAGTACAGTAATGCAGAAACAGAGACCCCCCTAAAGGGGGGGGAGGTCCACAGGGGGAGGGGCTCCAAGCAGACCGTTACTTGTGGATATCCAAAGTTAAGAAAAGGCAAATTTTGACTCAGAGAAATTAAATTTGTGGCTTTCTTGCCTCCTCCCCCAAATGCTAGCTTTCACTTGTAAGAAAATAGTTTGCATTAAATTTATTTGGATATTACCACTTTGAGAAGTAACATGTGGGGCGGAGTGACCTCCCTAAGGGAATCACACATTCCTCGGTGTTGAGGTATCCCAGCCTTTTTGAAATTTTATCCTTGCTTCAGCACCTGTGTAATGAGCCCAATGATGCACTCAAGTGTAATCCCAGCTGTTAGCAAGAACATGTGTGAGCCAGAGGAGTGTGGATCAGCTGGAGGGTTGCAGAGTTCCCATCTCACCGTCTTCCCGGCCTTTAGCACGGAGCGAGAGGCTTGCCAAAGGTTTCTCGGCTTGGGGCTGAGGAGCTGAAGTGCTTTTCTCATAAGCCTCGGTTAGTCCCCATGTGACAGCCAAGAAGAGGCAACGCTGTAGCCACTTATTTCCACTCTGTGGCCACTCTGTAACTGGGCCAGCCGGAGGGGGTTGCTCAGCTTGAGCTCCTGCGCTGACCAGGGAGGGGAGGGGCTTCCTCCAGAGCCCTAAAGTGCACCAGAGGGAACAGCCTGGCACAATCCAGACTCTGCTGCCTGCAAGACGTTCGGTCCGGGCATCCTTTGGGGAAAGGTTCAGGGTGACCTCTTTGCTGGCCTTCCTGCCTGCCTTCTCTCTTGATGTTCACGACACCACTTTCACAGGAGCCGATGCTCCACTTGGCCTCTAAGAGGGCAGGGGCTTCAGGACCTCTCTTGATGTTCATGACACCACTTTCACAGGAGCCGACGATGCTCCAGTTGGCCTCTAAGAGGGCAGGGGCTTCAGGAAGCAGCTGGGCATTCGTTGAATCTCTTTTGTTGTCGTTGTTGCTTGAAAAGCAATCCATGGCTTGTGATTTGATCCCTAAGTTCTGGCCAAGCTCCAGCCTTCCTTTCCGCAAACACGCCCTTTGGAGAAGGTCAGGAGCCATGTTTCACTTCCATGACTAGCTGCCCTCCTGGTGGAGGTGCTTCCCTGCTCAGGTATCCTGACTCAGACCAAGCCCACTGCCCCCAGATTCCGTTCTGCCTTGCCCTGGTTCTGTCCCTCTTGGTAGCAGTTGAGAGAGGTGGGAGAGGACCCCAGGGAGCACTTTGCGCGCAGGTGGTGTTAGCATCGTACACCCATGTCCAATTCTGGAGATGGGTGGCTGGGCTGAGCTGTTCAAGCAGATCTTGCTTTGTCCCAAAAGGGTTCCTTGGCTTTGTGGAATATTTCCTTTTCCCTTCCCTTCCTTTTCCTTTTCCTTTCTTCTCCTCTCCTCTGCTCTCCTCTCCTTTCACCAAAGGAGGACTGTCAATCTCAACAACTCTACAAGTATTCAAGGACAAGATCCTCTCTCACTTTCTCTGTGGAACTAAAATTATCTCTCAGGATCTTTGCTCTTGATTTAGAAGATGAATTTTTGAGCCCTCTCTTTAGAGCAGCCCCCCCCCCGTGCACTCACTTCAAAGCTCCCACCGATTCATCTGTTCCTCTTGTATCCTTGTTTGCCCACAGCCCAAGGCCTTCCTTATTTCACAGGGGGGTGGGAATGGCCTCTTTTTAAGACCAGAGCCCTCTTAGGAGCTCCTCTCAGGTTCCACAGCCACCTGTCAAACAAGGATATGACATGAACAGGTGAATAGAAATATTGTTCAGTCTGTGGCCCCCTGCAGAGGTGCCAGCCCCCCCCCCTGGGGGGGCATATGGCTCTCATTGGGAATGGTTGTTTTAGAGCCAAAGAATGGTCCCTTCAGCAGGACTGGGGAGATGCTGCTCATGAAATAATTTCTCTATTATGGGAAGCAGATTGTAGGTCTTTCTACTTTCTGAAGAGTTGCATTCCTTTTATAGCTGGGCCTGTGTCAAACAATGTCAGCGATGAGCAGCTTCTTGAAAGACCTCAGTTTAATCCTGTTTTAACTTTGTGCTTGTTTTCTACTGCCCTGCACTGCTTTGTCAATATAATGTTGATCATGACTTTACATGTTGTGTTGTGTTATATTTATCTTTTGTCTTTCAAGACTGACTTAAGGCAACTCGTAATATATTAATAAAATACATGGAATTACAAACGTTTAAAGATTTAATATTTGAGCACAATCAGTTTTCATTCTATCACACATTTGGTAATACATGCAGCCCCCTCACCCCACCCGCAGAGAGGAACCTGGGTGCAGAAGAGTCTGAGAGGCCTTTGGCCTGTGGAAGTTGCCCACTTCTGTACGGAGGCAACCTTTAAGAGGTCACCTTTTAAAAAGACTGGGATCAAAATAAACATGTGAACCAATCCTCCACTCCTGCAGTGCTGGCACCTGCTGTGGTTCTCGCATTTGTCTTGACTCCTTCGCTGTGGTGCATTTTGACTTTGAGAAGTTTCTGTGCTGCTTATTATTTCTCCCCTAAGTTTCTGTTTAATGGGCTTTCAGGTGGCATTGCTGAATTTCTTCTCCATGGAAGAAAGGCCTTATTCTCAGGAAGAAAATCACCATGTCCGCAGGAATAAGAGAAGCAAAAACAGTGAAGGACCAGAGGGTGAGTTTGCATCACTTTTATTTTTATGTTGAATATCTTTGTGAGCACAAGAACATAGCACAGCATTTTGTATATGAGACCACCTCCTGCTTTCGGCTGGCCCTCAGAGTGTTAACTGCACAAGCTGCATCCTCTTAGTCATCTTAACGGGATGTCAGCTTCCTTATCACTAGATGTTGGCTGCTTTCCTCTTGCAATTACTCCTGGCAGAATTAGTTTTTCCTTGCTCATTAAAGTGTTTTGGTAATGGAAATACTTTCTTCTACAGTATGTTCTCCATTTCCAAGATTGCTGTGTTCACATTTGGACGATTTCAAAGACTGAAATGTTAGCTTATCCTCCCTTTCATTTGGACTCTGAAACTTCTCCCATTGTTCTGTAGCTCAAACTCCATAAAGGAAATCAATGCCACTTCTAAGCGCCTAAAATGTCGAACAGCTCATCCTGCCAGACACTTTCTGAGCCTCTGGCACTCTCTTGCCAGCGTACAGCTTTTGTTCCCACAAGCTATAATTGGTCCAAGTGAGGAGATGTAAGCAGAGGAGAGGAAGTGGCCCCGGGTGGGGAGAGATCATTTTTACATGGAGAAAGTCAAGCAGCCAAAAAGCAGAACATCAAGTGCAAACTTAGGAAATGGCAGGAATGTTCCAGGCTGGACCTGAAGCAAGAAAAGGGGATCTAGCTTGCCCCACTGCCTCCGTGGCACGCTTCTGGGGGGAGGGAGGGCTTCCTTGGAGGCAGTGCCGGGGGGGGGCTGAGGCACACACAGAGCCATGCCCTGCAGCTCTGTGAAATGTTCAGGTTCTCCAGGGGGGCCTGGGGCTGGGGTTCTGCATGTCTTCCTGTTCCTCCACTGTGGCTGCAGTGATGCAGAGGCATTGCTTCCCACTCACCCCAGGTTTCCAAAGAAAGAAGTCACCAAAAATACAGGGGGCTGCATAAGTCGAGCAGAGTGAGATTTGTTCATCTAAGAGTATGGCAGAAAATGTGGGTCAGCATTGACGCTAAGGTGTCTTCAGTCTGAAGGTTGGAAGGCTGCAACATCTGGGAAGGTCCAGACCCTTCTCTGCTTCGCCCCCTGCTCCTGGCCAGGCTGGCTTGGGGACGGAGACGGGGGGTGGGAGGCAGCTGAGCCTGCACTCTCCCGGGTAGGCTGTTCTGTCCTCCACCCCGCCCTGCGTGTCTCTGGAGGGCTGTGTGCAGGGGTGGCCCTGCAGGAAAGATCTGCAGGAAAGTGGGCACCCAGGCTTTGTGGCATGGTTAGCTTCTCACGTAGCTTGTTTCTTTCTCTGCCTTGCCTGAAATATTTTGCAAATTCCTGGTTGAAAAGATGTCCTTGTTGCCAGATTTCCAAAAAGTAACACCGTAATAATCACAAGGGCTTTCAGTTCCCTAGACACTCCTGAATGTTTATTTTTATTATTATTCTGGAATACCCTTGGTAAGTGGCTCCTGTTAAGTGTGACACCGTTTTAAGCGTTGGGGGTGGGGTGGGGGTGGGGGATGGAGGGCACGGAGGGAAGGGATTGTGTGGTGCCTTCCTGGTAAGTAAGGAAGGAAGGAACGAACGAACAAACGAATGAACGAACGAGCAAACAAACAAACAAACAAACAAATTTCATCTCGTCCCTTCTGACTTATCAGGGTTTTCTGGATAGAAAACACTCAGGGGTGGTTTGCCCTTGCCTTCTTTTGGGGCCGCCTGGGACCACTGTGCATCTTGACCCCAAGGCCCCATAGACTGGGTCTTCTCCCTGGAGGCCCAGTGGGGGAATCAAACTCCCATCCTCTGGCTCCACAGTCAGAGATGCCTAAAGCACTGAGCTCTCCAACCAGCCACCATTACAGATTCAGGCCTCATGTCGTTGGACCCTTTGGGATAGTGACCCCTTCCTGAGTAATGGGCTCTAGACCCCCAGCCCCAGCCTTGCTAACATATCCTGGGTTTGCCTTGGTGCAAGGTGTGGGCTTGGATCACCTCCTCGGTACCTGGATGATGTGCTCCTGCACTCCCTTCTCCTGAGCATTTGTTTCCAGAGGGCTCACCTCGCACACAGACACAGACACACACACAGAGAGAGAGAGAGAGAGAGAGAGAGAACACACACACACACCTGGGCAATAGGCTCTGTCTCTCTCTCTCTCTCTCATAGTCCCACACAGTCCCTCTGTTTAAGAGAGGAAACGGCACCGCCCCTTGTCCGACAAGCTGCTCTTATAGGTCAGCCTGCCTATAGGTCTCCCGAGGAGCTGCGGCTTAAAGGGCCCGAGAGGCTGTGGCTTCACCTGCACAGAGACACCGCTGCAGCTCCGTGACAGCACAACACCGAGTGTGCCGTGCATGTGTGTCTGGGGGTGCTGAAGCAAGAGGGAGCGAGCTGGGTTAGGTGAAAGTTCTAGCCAACAAGCCTCTGGATATTTGATTTAAACGTATTAGTCTGCATATGTTAAAACTGGGGCAACATCTGTCAGCTCTGTAACAAACAAAACTCTTTGGATTCCCACCTAAATGCCTGAAGGGGAAAGCGAGGGGAGGGGAGGGTGTCACGTTGCAGCCCTCCCAGCCAGTCCCACTTGGCCACGAAAGGTGGCCATGCTTCTGAGAGGAGCCAGGGCAACTGGCCAAGTGCAGCTGAAATGGGCCTCCCCCTACACACACACACACACACACCTCCTGTCTTCACGATAGCTCAGGGTTTCAGGCGAGGTGGCCCTTGGTCCTTGCTTTGAGTTGAATCTGGGAGCAGGGATGGGGTGGAATTGAAACAGGCAGGACCTGAAGGAAGTCTGTGAGTTCTCAGAGTTGTGTTGAGGTTTTGGTGACAACGTCTGTTTAACTGTTGCCAGGTTAGTTCACTGTGAGTGGTCGTTTCGGAATGATCCGAAGCTTCTTTCTCCTGGATGATCCAAGAGAGATTAAATGAATCCTAGTAGGAGCAGGAAATTTTAATGGAAGTGCCACATCCTAATCAGCAGAATATTTAGTGGCCAGTCTACCAATACACACTGTACACATGGCTCTATTAATTTAGACCTTACTCATGAGAGATAGCACCTTATGCAGTCTGTTTATGACCTGGAGGATGCCTCAGTCTGATCTTCCATTGATTGGCCTCAACAGCGGGTGCCAGACACTTCATCTGTTTCTAGTTTGCCTCTACTGTATTTCTTTGTTCTTTGTCTGTATTTATTATATTCACATATATTTATTGTTTGTCATAAGAGTAGTTACAAACACAAAAAAAAACCCACACAATGGCATTAGAAAGAAATCAATGGGGGAGATTTCCCAGACCATGAACCTCTCTGCTATAATTCTGGACATTTTTGGCTGTTGAGAAACAGACGTTTGCACTCGCTCGGATGACTAAGACTTCTGTCAGCAGCTTTTTGCTTCATATTTTATTTGTTACTCACAGGTGAAGAAAGAACTGGAGCAACTGCTGAGAGAAATAAGCCCTTACGATACTCACAAGCTGTGGCCTGCTGCAGTTGCCAGTAACCAGAGATGTTCTCAAGGGTTCGGTAGTTGTGCCGAGGGCTGGGTTCGAATGTGTGATGCTGCCAGCTGTGGCTGAGGCTATAGACGAAGAGCCTCCCCAAGTTCTGGCGGGGCTTTTGAAATGGGCTGCAAGGTCACCCTGACCACACTCCTCCATCTGCTCAGAGGCACTGCCAGTGTATGCAGTGCGAAAGCTGGCGAAGCTGTTTTTACGGCACAGGTGGGCCAAAAGGAAGCATCCGGCAAAGCCTCCTCCCTCCCTCCCTCCCTGCTGTTGTCACTTTGGTCTTGAAGCCTCACCTGGTCTGTAACCTGCATTCGGGCAAAGTGCTGCTTGCTCACAGTTGCACAATTTCTCCTCTCTTTGCCAATATGTCTTTTCCCCTGCAGACAAGTTCAGACCAAGTTGGACAAGTATTTGAGTAATTTTGTAATTAGTTGCATGTCTGAGGTTTTCCTTGTTGTTTTTTTTTCAAGCTGTCATTTCTTAATGTTTTGAAATAGAGCTGCCAAAGTTATTTCAGTGCAGTTGTGGTGGAAAGTGTGAGCGGACTCTTACCTGTTCCCTGGAAGGCCTTCTTTACTTGTCCGGGAGTCTGGAAAAGACTAGCATTTCACTGACACGCTTGCAGCCGATGTGCACAAGAAGCCACATCTGCCACGGTTGTGAGCTGTCACGGTTAGGTGTGGGCCTCATTCACGTATTAGGGAGTGATTCCATCTGTAAGTGAGCCTTAAAATATCTTGAAATGGTCTGAGGAAGTGGACTTGTCCACAAAAGCTCACACTAAAATGTAGCAATTTGTCTTTGAGGTGCCACAACATTCTTGTCATCATTATTTTTTATTTTTGTTATTTCTTTTGGCCTGTTTTGTTTTGTGTTGTTTTTAGCACAGACTACCTCTTCTAAAACCTGAAATATCCTGAGACTACTGAGAAAGCAAGAAATTCAGAAGGAGATTCCCTTAAACTGTGGATGTGTTATTCTTATCTATTTTTTTTCAACTGAGTATTTTAATAGTTCTCTCTGTCTTTATCTTTACTGAAAAGTCGCCTTTAAGAGTTGTTCATCAGTTACTCACCCGGGGTATTCTTTATGTTTAACTAAAAGAACTGTCTTTTTGCTTTATTCCCCGATACTATTCCTTGGTTTCAGCCCATGGTTCTTCTGATTCATGGTCAGCTGAATTTAATAATACCAATCTGTTCTTTGTGCAGAATTCAGATTGATCAAAAATATTGTTTAAATTCTGGGGGGCGGGGGCATATGATGCTTTTAGTGTTATTCTTCAGCTTTACTCTGTTGCTGCTGCTGTTGTTGTTTTTCATTAGCAGTTCATGGTCGGTCTCCTCCTCCTCCGTCCTGCAGGGTAGCCCACCTGCTCCTTCTCAGCAGAACATTTAGCGGTGCTAGGATGAGCAGGGCCAGAGGGACATGGAGCCTCTTCCAGTTGGCACCTGTTATTGAAGTCAGCAGGTCAGCTGGTCCAGTTTTCTA